CATAATCAAAATTATCCTTATTATGAAGATATAATTGCCAACATATATAAGTCTAAATACACTGAATATTCAAAAATATGATCATGCCCCATTTTTAGGATTCTGTGGTCACCAGGCAACCTCCTGAATACAATTTTGTTTCTCATGTAGGTATCCTACTAGTAGGCAGGGCAACATAACTCTTCTGTACATTATAGTTTATATCCTTACTTATAAATTTCTTGGAATGCAGACATTGAGTTTATGGAAGCTGAAGTTGACTCCATTAGTGAATACAAACTCATTTTTAGTTGGTTTGAAAATCAGGGGCTGGTGTTGTGGCATAGTGGGTTAAGCCACTGCCTGCAACACTGGCAACCCATATTAGCACTGTGTCAATGTTCGGCTATTCCACTTACATTCCAGCTCCCTGCAAATGTGCCTGGGAAAGCAGTGAAAACTGGCCCAAGTCCTTGGTCCCTGTACCCATGTGGGAACCTGAATGAAGCTCCTAGCTTTTGCCTTCAGCCTGTTTAAACCCTGGTCATTGTAGCCATTTGGGGAGTGAACCAGCATGTGGAAGATTCTCATTCATTCATTCTCTCTCTCTCTCTCTCTCTCTCTCTCTCTCTCTCCCCCTTTATGTCTGTAATTCTACCTTTCAACTTAATAAATAAGTACTTTAAAAAGTAATAAAATAAATTAAAATCATGTAACATAGTGGGAGCCAAAGCAGTGGCATCCCATGAGAATTTTAGGGGGCAACCAAGTGATACCATTGTTCATTTGCTTATCTTTTTATTCTTCATGATGTATATACCAGACTGGCACTCGATCAGTCATTAGAGATGTAGTGCTGCAAGACAAATTTTTTGTCCTAAACACTTGGTATACTTTAAAGAAATAGAGACTTAGAACAAACCATTGTACAAATAATTAACTTTTGCTATTGTTCTAAGCGCTATAAAGAACTGCAGGGCATGATGGAGGCATGGATTAAGTGGCCTTATTTGATGTGGGGAATCAGAGAATTTCCCTGTTGATACATAGTTTCATTACCTTTTGAGTACTAATTCTGTTCTTAGACCTCAATAGATTGTTTTTGGAGATGTTGGTTTTTAATTGGTGGCATTAGTTGAAAATGACCACCAGCAAGTAGTCTAAAGTAAGTTTCTGGGAGTTGGGAGAGAGAGTGAGTAAGCTAGGAAGGAGTGCTGATGTGGTGGCTGAGTGCAGATAGAAAGATGTAAAAACATACTTTGAGACATCTATACTAAAAAGGCAGGAGGAAATTAAGAAATTGAAGAAAGATAAAAAATAATAAAATTGAGGGAGTGCTAGCAAAATTTAGAATCACAGTATTTAAGACAGGAAGATTTAAAAATATTGTGAATTGATATATAAAATTATACATATTTCTAGGGAACCATGTGATATTCAACACATATATGCATTGCATAATACTTAAATCAGGGTAAAGACATACGTGATCTTGAACAGTTTTCCTTTCTTTATTGAGAAAACATTCAAAATCCTTTTTTGCTAATGTTTAAATTATATATATATATGACACATTGTCTTTATTTGTACTCACCCTACTGTAAAATAGAACACCAGAACTTGTTTTCTCCTAGCCTGATGGTCCCTCCCCTACTCCCTCTCATTCTACTTTCTGCACCATAGTCTTTGATAAACACCATTCTACCCTCAACTTTGGCAAAGTCACCGTTGTTTAGATTCCACATATGAGTGAGATCATGTGGTCCTTATATTTCAGTGCTTGGCTTATTTCACTCAACATAATGACCTGCAGTTCCATCCCAGATGTCACACATGACAAACTTTCAACTTTTTTATAGCTGAATAGTATTCCACTTTGTATATATGTCATAGTTTCTCTACTAATCTGTCAATTGATGGACATTTAGGCTGTTTTAACTTCTTAGTTATTCTAAATTTTGCTTCAGTAAACATGGGAACGTGGATAAGGTTTAAAGGAGGAAGGAAATGTTTTTACCAGGATTAAAAGCTATGGCCAAGTGAAATAGATTGAGTACAAAAACTGAAGATTATGGCAGAGACTAATAATGAGCTAATATAAAGTTATTTATTCTGTCATTGATGAATGCAATGAATTGAAGCAAATGAATTGATGATTTTTGACTATATACATTGTTACCAAGTTAAAGAATTATAAATTCCCACCTCTTTTGCATCTTGGTTTGGCTATGTGAGTAGTTCTAACCAACTAGATAAAGAATTATTTTTGAGTAGTACCTCCATTAAGGACTCTTAGAAAAGAAGAATCATTTCTTCTTACTTTTTTAATTCACCTATCTGTTGCGAATGTTGATTATGTTCTTTGGCAATTATTTTGGGCCCTACAATCTGTAGACCATGTTCTAGCATTGCCAGTACCTTACAGAAGTGCTACATTTCTCCGTGTTCCTGTATCCTAAGTAAAGGAATTAGTAGATTAGAGGAGAGAACATCAATAAAAGTTTTGAGGTATGGAGAATGGTGAAATATTTAAGGAGAAAATGGTAGCCTTTCTTCAATTTTTCTGACCAAATAGCGATAACATTACTTGTTTTCCTTTATTGTAAAAATATAATACAGATATGGAACCTTACTATGAGACTAGTATTAACATTTTGTGCAATATTTACTTAGGAAAAGGCAATAGGTTTGGAATAAGAAAATGAGATAGAAGCCATATATAATATAGACTATTTGTATGGGTTTATCCTGAGAGACGTACACAGAGAAGATGAATATGAACATGAACGAGAGACTGACAGAGTAGCTACTTTGCTTTGACAGCTTTTCTGATTTGGTTTCAGGTCTTCTGCACTTCAAGACATACTCATCAAAGATTTTTTAAAAACATTTTTTAAAAATTTCTTTAAATTTGTATTTGAAAGGCAGAGAGATAGAGATCTTCCATTTGCTGATTCACTCCCCAAATGCCTACAACTTCTTGGGCTGGGCCATGCAAAAGCCAAGAGCCAGGAATTCATTCTGAGTCTCCCATGTGAGTGGCAGGGAAGTGGCAGATATGCAACTACTTGAACCATCACATGCTGGCCCCCAGGCTGTGCATTAGCAGGGAGGTAGAACTGGAAGTGGAGCTGGCACTGCAGCTCAAGCACTCCAGTATGGAATGCCTGCCCCCACCGAAGACACTCTGAGGCATCTTTTAACTCACACGACAGAAAGCCTCTTTATTCAGGATAGTTATCCCATGAAGTTCTTCTGTGGAAAAAGAGCAAGTTCACTTAATCTCTGAATGGCCTGATTTCAGTTTTGTGACAGTTGTTAGTAGTCCTGAAGAGGTTTGGAGGTTCTTAGGGGACCTAGTAGGGTGGGGATATGCAAATGTCTAGAAATGAAAATTTGGCACTTAAGGTTTTTGGACAAATGTAATGTGCTTTAGGCTGTACTTAGAGGTAATGATGGATATGGTAAAAATGTTCCCAAGTTCAGACCTCAAACAATGAAAGCATAATGAGCAGAAAAGAAAAAAGAATACATTCTTAATTTTAAAATAATCATAAGCTTGGTAGAGAGATGTAAAATATACACCTATGTACCTAAATCTAAATGAACAGCATAGATCATAAACACTGTGAGATTCAAAGGAGAGAGTAATTAGTGCTGGGCTATTGTAATATGGCCAACTTGAGGTCAGCTTTTCCACTGACTCCTTGTGTGATGTGACCATTAAAGTCACATGCTACCTCCACTGCAGTTTCCACCGCTGTCAAATGATCGCTTTGTGTTAGATTCATTAATTCATTCAAAACACACATTTTAAGTGCCCACTATAATGCACAGGACTAGGAATAGCAAATAAATAAAAGATGTGGTTGTTGTTCACAAGGAATTTACAGCCTAGGAGGAGAGATGGCTATGCACATAAACAGCAGTCTTCTAAAGAATAATCACAATGGTGGCTCTGAACCAAGGACAATGGGAGACAACTAAGCTGACGATAGGTAAGGGAAAATCCCACTGAGACCATGCTTGGATGAATAGGAGTTGCTGGGTGAATCAGGTAATGATGGAACTTTCCAGAGAGGAAAGAATTGTAGAGATCTTTTTGCCTATGTCTTGTGTGGCATTGACATTTTTCTTTGTTTTGTTTGGAGGAGGAGGAAGGGAGTGAACAAATGTAGGGTAGGAGTGTGGGGATGACTTAATGAAGATAAGATAGAAAGAAGTAATTTCCTGGGCTTCTTCAAGCCCCTAAAATCTATTCAAAATGAATTCTGTGAAGGAGAACACATGAAAAAGCACACAATGAAAACCTCCTTTGCCTCCTCTGTTTCTGTCTTGCACAAGGTCTTAGAAAGGCAGCAAAGATAGTATAATATGAAGGTATTTCAAAAAGGTTTCTGGAAAATAAAAGATAATTTGAAGTTCACATATAGGAAGGGTCTTCAAAAAGTTCATGAAAAATACATTTTATGAAAAAAACTATACACGAATTTTAAGACTGTGCACAAAATAATGTTATTTGTATCATTTTTAAAAGTTGTTTTATTGATTTGAAAGGCAGAGACAGAGAATGAGACACAGCACTCTCCTCTATTGGTTCCCCTTTTAAATGCCCTTGATGCGTAGGGATGGCCTAGGCTGAAGGTGGAAGCCTGGAATTCAGTCCTGATCTCCCACTTGGGTGATAGGGACCAAACGGCATGATCCATCACCTGCTGCCTCGTAGAGTGGATGTTAGCCAGAAGCAGGGACCAGGAGTGGAGACAGAGCTCAAACTTAGGCACTCTGTTATGGGATGTGGGCATCCTGAGCAACAGCTTAACTGCTGTGCTAAATGCTTGTCCCTAGTTGTAAGATCTTAAAAAATGTTAAATATTTTTGGGGGGATTTTGTCTTCTCATCTGTAGAAAGGAAATAATAACAACAATTACTTCCTGATGTGAGAATTAAACTTACTAAATGCATAGAGTGGTTAGAACCAGCCTGGTATAAAATATCATCAAAGAGTTAGCTGTTGATACCTGTATTTCCATAGAGTGGTTTCTGCCCAGGAGAGGAAATGGTGATGTGATTGTTTATTGGTGAGTAACTTGGAGGTGCTTTCCTGTCCAGAGCATTCCACAGGAGTGGCTTAGAATCCACTCATTTAGTCACAATATGTAAGTATCACAAGACTGTCTTCCAGGTTCTGAGAAATATATAGTACAATAATTCCAATCCATGGGGTAGGTTTAAATAGCAAATGAATGGGAATTCAGAGTAGTTCGAAGTGTCTGCTTCCCGGCAAGCTGTGGAAGGGTGTATTGACAGACGTCCCTCAGGGACTGGAGTCAGGATTTGTCTTTGCTGGTCTGAGCAGCCCCTTTGCATTTACAACTGTTCTTCCCCTCTCTCTGTGCTTTTACAGGAAAATCTGAGCCAACTCTCTGGGATGCTGGATCAGAGTCAGGGCTGAGAAAGTCCCCTACACTGGGTGCCGTCAACAGAAAAGATATTTTTAAACACAAACAATTTCCCAGGCATCCATGAAAAGCAACAATAGACTTCTCTAAAATGAGTCTTGGTGAGGAGCTGTTCTCGTTCTGTGACTTTCATGTCACTTGGACACTTTGGTGCTGAGAAATGCTTATTTGCCTGTCGACGTCACTGCATGGACACTTCTCCTTGGAATGACATAATGGCATCAGTGCTAGTCCCTGGCACTGCTCACCATCTAACGGCAGTGATTTTTCAAAAACAATAAAGAAATCTACGTTTGGTGTCTTTTTTTCTCTCTTGATTATACTGCAGGCACAACCTGTGTGGGGAAACAATATCCCAGATCATACTGAAGGTTCGCCCAGATGGAACATTAGTGGGAGGAGTTGCCAGCTACTTCCCTGCCAACTTGTTAGTGCTGGAGACATTATTCTCTTGTTTTGCCAGTTTAATAGAGGATCAGTCGGAAAGATTCTTTGTAGGCTCAGCAACATAATTATTATCTATGGTCTCTGTATTAACTGTGAGAAAACACCATGGTCTGAATCTGCCTCATTTCAAATGCCAAGCTGTGCCCACATTCAGCCCACAACCAAACCTGAAAACTCAGGATACCCTAAGCATTGCTACTACTGGCATCATGGCGGATGGTAAGTGCATGCTTGTTCAAGCCGTGCTATTGAAATCATTGCTGTACCATTTCTGTTTTTTTGTTCTATTCCCATGACCCTCTCTAACATCAGTGCTCTTGCAATTCAAAATTATTAAAAAGGTAAAAATCTGTGTCACATTTAGTTCTGGTACTCAATCCAGAAGTACCAAGCCCCTTCAAATTTGGAAAACAAACTCCTTAACAGATGGGCCACATAAAGTTTACAACATGTGCAGTGTGGGAGGTAGTATAGCTCTGGGCAAGAAACAGAAGACTGGAAATTTGGGAGCTTGGAGATTTTGCATTTGCTCTTGTTTTGTGCTTGTAGGCAGATTGAATAAGCTTCTGTCCTTCATTTCTCTCACATGACTCGATACCTTAATCTTGTAAGAGAGTAACAAGAAATCAGGCAAACATTTTTCTTACTATGAAACAGCATCAAAATATGGGTTTCTACTACTAATGTTGTGTGAAATTGGTATGAAATTGTTAATAGCATGTGGCTGCAGGATCTAGAAAATTCCACAATGTAATTTTAGATAGTTTCATTCACTGAGGACAGGTGTATAGCTGGAAAGCTGTCATTACTGTTGGAAAGGATGTTGATAGACTTGAACATATCGTTGAAAAATTTTTGGATTGAGATTTCCAAATGTGCACCTGCCATGTACCTCTTAAGTGGCTTTTAGAAACCTAAGAGATTGGAAAACTTCAGAACTGAATTATTATGACATGAAATCTGATAGTAATCTAATAACAATGTTCTCAACATAGATTATTATCTCTTCTATTTGGGGTAACTATTTTAAAACATAAACGTCAGGGCTGGTGTCATGGTATAGTGGGTAAAGCTGCTGCCTGGGATGCCAACATCCCGTATGGGTGGCAAATTGTGTCCTGGCTGCTCACTTCTGATCCAGCTCCCTGCTAATGGTCTGAGAAAAGCAGCAGAAAATGATCCAAGTACTTGGGCCCCTGCCACCCATGTGGGAGACCTGGATGAAGCTCCTGGCCTTTGCGGTTGCTTGCACTTGCGGGAGTGATCTAGCAGATGAAAACCCTCTCTCTCTCTCTTTCTCTCTCTCTCTGTCTCTGTCTTTCTTTCACTCTTTGTAACTCTTTCAAATAAGTAAATAAAATCTTTAAACATAAAAGAAACACAGAAAATCCCATTCATGTCTAAGACCCACCACAGCCCTGATAGTTGAGAATCTTTGAACATAAAGCAAAAAACTTCTATATTGAAAGATTTTCCTACCTGGATCCAATGACCAGTCATACCTATAAGTACATGAATTAGTAACAAAGTTTTTGACTAAATTGAGATTGACTGAAATTCCAAAGCCAAGGAGTTAAATACTGTATAGAAGTCATCATTTAAGAGAGAGGTTAGGCTTAAGAGAAGATCAGAGAGGGAGGGATGAATGTCAAGAAGAGGAATCCATGATTCAGTCACAAGGAGAAGTAGAAAAGAAGTTATTGAGAGTAATAATAGGAGTCCTGAAAGTGAAAGTAAAAAGACAAATTTAGCAGTGTGAATAGACGAAGATCTCTGCAGGGTTAAAATATATCTGCTACCTCCCTTATAGAATCTCATATTTTGATTCCTTTTTTGCACTGGTTCCAGTCTCTAACCCATTTTCTAATCTGATTCAAAGTGAATTATGATTCTGCCCTCTATATAGTAGCCCGGTAATACTGCTTTGTCTCCTAGGATCAGATAACAAGCATTGTCTTATATAAGCTGATTCTGGCAGAACTCTGTCCAGTAGAACTTTGCTCCACTAATCTGATTGCTGATTGCTTATTGCTTTGTATGTACACTGACCTTTTGTCCTTATTGGGACACAACAAATTCCTTCCTATCTGGGATCTTCATGTATGTTTTTATTTGTCTGGAAAACTCTCCCCTAGTTTCTGTCTACTTTCTCTGCTACCACTATTGAGCCTGTACATTCTGGTCATCTCGTGTATCACAGATGATATGTCATTACTCAAGGAGGATTTCTCTGACCATCTGTGCTAAATTATGTGTCGTTGTTATTCTGACACGGTTCCCTACATTTTCTTGGTAACATTAGTCATAACTTTATATTATTTAAATTCTACAGTATTGTGCTTCTTACGGGCAGCCTGTTTTGTTCATCATCTAATGAAGTGCTAGAATACAGTATATGCTCAATAAGTAGTTCTTGAAGTAACAAATGAGTGTATTATAGGTGTTCAGAGACCCACAAAATTAAGATAAAAGAATAGAGATGATTTTTCCTCATTAAAAATTTTTAGTGTGCCACTTCTATGCCACACATACTAGTTAATGTTATTGTTGTAAGTGCTTTGGAAGACACAAAGACAAAGTACATGATTGGAAAAGATACATCAAAAATATGTAATAATTGGCAAAATGAATTGACCAGTGTAATTGAGGCAGTACAACCATAAGCAACTGGTTTTGGTTCCTACATCTAGGCAAGACTGATCACTGGGGATGCACTTAAACTGGGTCTGAAACCTAACTAGGAGGTCAGCAGTACAGTGTTCTAAACACTGAATTTTTGACTTAGATCGTAGCCTCCACCTTTTAAACTGATTTCCCTTCTATTCCATCTATGATATACTTGTTGGGGAGGAGCAAGGGAAGCAAAACATATGTTTCAGCTCACTAACCACAGATGACTGGATTTAAATTTACACCCTGACCCAAGATAGTCTGATCCACCTCTGTCTTTATGGGATTGGTATTTTTGACTTCAAATTCTAGATGATCAGTGGCAGGTGGTAGATCTCTTAGGATGTGTTAACTTGGAGTTTAACATGACCATTCAAAAGGTCTTCAAAAGTTCATGCATGGAAAATGTGTATCATGAAAGAACTGTGTAAATTTAAAAGCAGGTTTTGCACCAAAATAAACATCTTTTAATTGCGGTGACTGTTCCTCCCCACCACCGGAGAATTAGGCAGGCTGCCCGCAGCTTGCCTTGACCTAGGAGGGGAAGTGCGCCACCTGCCACTCAGCCTTCCCCAAACCCAGGGGACAATCAGGCGTGGTGTAGAGCCCAGTTGAAGTAGGGTCTCACTTTATTGTAAAAGGGAGATGTATATATAGCTGAGGTACAGAGCAGCGGCTGGTACAGAGCAGATGATCGGATGTGGGCAAGGGGTGTGGTGTTGTGATGCAAAAGGGTCTTAGCCACTCCTATTATACCACCTTAAGGATCCTTAGGCAGAAGTGCCCTGGGGCTGGGGTGTTTGCTACCAGGGATCTGAAACTTAAAGACAGGTTTTCAAATTCCAGGCAGGCTCAGGAATTTCCTCTAGGCCTCTCAGGATTCAGCGTCCCCCACATTTAATCCCATTTTTTACATCAGCTTTTAAAATTCTCTTTGTTTTCTATTCTGGCATGAGAGTGGAGAGACAGGGAAAGCTGACTAGGTATAAAGAAAAGAATGGAGAACATAAGGATGTAAGAAGTATAGATGGAGAGAAAAGGATACAGATGGAGATATAGATGGCGGGTGGTGAGAGGGGTTGTTATGGTTTTCTAGATTCCATTCTCAGCATCTGTCAGACCAACTTTATCTCCTTTGTTTAAGCTAGATTGGATGTGTGTCTATTATTTTTAACTGTAGAAAGCCCTAATGAAGACAGATGAAGGCCTGCACTGGCTGCGGCTCACTAGGCTAATCCTCTGCCTGCAGCACCAGCACCCCAGGTTCTAGTTCCGGTTGGGGCGCTGGTTCTGTCCTGGTTGCTCCTCTTCCAGGCCAGCTCTCTGCTGTGGCCCGGGAGGGCAGTGGAGGATGGCCCAAGTCCTTGGGCCCTGCACCCGCATGGGAGATCAGGAGGAAGCACCTGGCTCCTGGCTTCAGATCTGTGCAGCGCCGGCCATAGTGGCCATTTGGGGGTAAACCAACGGAAGGAAGACCTTTCTCTCTGTCTATCTCTCTCTCACTGTCTAACTCTGCCTGTCAAAAAAAAAA